AATGTCATGTGGGCAGCCCATGGGGTCCTGCAGGTATCACAAAGCTCCATGAGGCAACCAGAGAAAGGTCATCCGAGGACGGAGATTCCCTTTCGTTCCCTCCAGAGGCCAGCAAGCCTCCAACCCGGTTCTTGCTCATTCAACAAACACCGAGCCCTTACTTGACACCAGACCCTGTGGGTTAGTGTTGGGGGGCTGCATACAAAATACTGTATACTGGATGGCTTAAGCCAACAGAAGTATATTCTCCCACAGTTCTGGAGGCCCGAAGTCTGAAGTCCAAGTGTTGGCAGGGGCGTTCCCCCTGGAGGCTCTGGGGGACAATGCTGTCCGTGCCTCTGTCTTAGGTGGTGGTGGCTGCTGGCCATCTCGGGCATTCCTTGATCTGGAGCTGCATCCCTCCCACCTCTGCTCCATCTTCAGTGATGTTCTTCCCTGTGTCTGGATCCCGATTCTCTCTCTCCTTTCTCTGGTGAGGGCACCAGTCACTGGATATAAGGTGGGCTCTTAATTTAGGATGATCTCATATTGAGATCCTTAATTACATCTGCAAAGACCTTATTTCCAACTAAGGTCAGATTCACAGGTAGGGGCACCTGGGTGGCAAAGTCGGTTAAGCGTCCAACTCTTGATTTCGGCTCAGGTCACGATCTCAGGGTGGTGGGATCGAGCCCCATGTGGGGCTCTGCGCTCTGCACAGAATCTGCTTGAGATTCTCTCTCTCTCTCCCTTTGTCCCTTCCCCTCTTCTTTCTCTCTCTCAGATAAATAAAGTAACCTTAAAAAAAAAAAAAAACCATTCACAGGTATAGGGGGTTAGGACTTAGATCTTTTGGGCGGGTCATGATTCAACCCACTAACCCTGTATTAGCTAATAGGGCAGTCCACTCAGCACTCAAGGGAGAGATAGCAGGAAGAGACATTTACTACCAAGGAATGATAAGAGTTGGGTTAGAGGGATAAACCAAAGGGCTGGGAAGACTTCTCAGAGGAGGTAACCTCAGAACTGTGTCTTGAGGGATGCACAAGAGGTTTCCAAGAGCACCAGAGAGAGAGAGAGAAGCTTAGTTATAAACCAGGCTTGTTGGTCAAAGTTGATCAATGCCCTTAAAGTCAGAATAGTGGTTCTCTTTGCCTGGGAGGGGGCAGAAGGAAGGCTTTTGGGGGCTGTGATAGTCTCCCTTTTGATCCTGTAGTTACAAGTGGCGGTCACTTGATGAAAACGAGCCTTACACTTATAACTTGTGCAACTTTATGCATATCTCAATAAAAAATAAATATTTTAAAAAGTCTGCTCAATACATTAACAGGTCGTCTCTGACTTGTTCTGCTTTCAGTGTTTTTTAAATATTCTTCACTGAGTACATCTTAGTTATATTAGGAAACTAAACTGTTTGAAAATCAAGGCCAGGAGCGCCTGGGTGGCTCAGTCAGTTAAGCGTCTGCCTTCAGCTCAGGTCATGATCCCAGGGTCCTGGGATGGAGCCCCGCATCGGGCTCCCTGCTCGGCGGAAAACCTGCTTCTCTCTCTCCCACTCCCCCTGCTTGTGTTCCCCCTCTTGCTGTCAAATAAATAAATAAAATCTTAAAAAAAAAAAATTGGTTACACACCTGTTAAAATGGCTAACTAAACTACAGACAACTGACAATGCCCAGTGTTGGAGAAGGTGGGGAGCAACTGCTGAGAACCCCAAAGGGTGCAGCCGCCTCGGGAAACAGTTGGGCAGTTTCTTAAAAAGGCGCACGTACGCTGATCCTAGGACCCAGCAATCCCACATCTAGGTACGGACCCAAGAGAAATGGAAACCTGTGTCCATTCATAAGCCTGTCTGCCAGAGTCCATAGCAGGTTTATTCATACTTGCTGAAAATAGGAAACGACCCCAATGCCTTTCAACTTGTGAAAAGATAAACAAACGTGCACACACCGAAATGGCCCGCATCGATCACAGGGAAAAAACTAACAGCCACAACACCAAGGGTGAAGCTCAAAGGCATTATGCTAAGTGAGAGAGACCAGAATCAAGACGTTACAATGGTGAGATTCCACTGATGTGACATTCTGGAAGAGGCAAAACCAGAGGCAGAAAATAGATCACTGGTTGCCAGAGGCGGGGGAGTTGACTACAAAAGGAATGGGGCGGGGGGTGATGGAATTGTTTTATATTTTGATTGTAGTGAGATTACACGACTATATGAATTTGCCAAAACTCCTATACTGTATACCCAAAAGGGTCAATTTTACTGAGCGTAAATCGTATTTTACTTAAAAAAAATTATAATACTACAGATGAAGACCAAGGGCGGGGGGGTTGTTGAGGGAAAAGTAGTCATTAATGCAGATTTGGGAGAAGAGGGTCAGGAAGGCTTCCAGAAAGCAGTGAGTCTCTCTCTGAAGCCAGTGGCAGGCGAGAGCTGTCAGCTGAGTGGGGACAGGAGGAGAGAGAACCAGTGGCAGACAGAGCAGCACGGATGATGGATGACGGATGACGCGCTCTGGGCAGGGTGTAGTTCTGCTGGAGCGAAGGGTGTACATGCCCCAAAGGAAGGCCAGGCTTGACTCATGCCCAGCCTGCTGAGCCTCACTAAGCCATCTGGACATTACCTGGGGGCAATGGGGAGCCACCGAAGGTGTTAGAACAGAAGAGTGATCTGGAGGATTTCTGGCTTGGAAAATCCACTGGGGACAGTGGGTTGAGGGAGCCAGGCTGAAGGCAGGAAGACTGGCCAAGACGTTCTTTCTTCCATGGTTGTGCATTCTTGGCTCAGACATTCTGCGGCTCAGATGTTAACCAAACACCTGCCGTGTGCCAGGCACTGTTACAGGAGCTGGGGACAGACCAAAAATCCCTGTGGCTCTTACATTCTAATGGGGAAGACAGACCATAAACAAGGAAACAGATTACCAAGGTCATCCCAGAGGGCAGTGAGTGCTGTGACAGAGCAGATGGGTATAATGGGGGAAGTGAGAGGGAATTTAGATAAGGCAGTCACAATGGCCTCTCAGAGAAGGTGCCATCTGAGCATGACCTAAGGAAGAGGAGGAGCCCTAAGTGAGGATCTGGAGAAGGAACTTCTCAGGCAAGTGCAAAGGCCTCCGGGGGGGGGGGGGCCTGATTGCTTTGGGGGGGCACACAGTGGATGCAGAATCCCTAAAAGCCATGAAGTGGGGCGCAGGGGTCTCCCTTCTAGCAGGAGATGGACAGAGCCTTCCCCTATGAGTGGCTGCCTTTCATGCCCCTGCCCCACATCCTCCATATTTTGGGGGGAATGATAGTTTATGGCTCCAAGTGTGGAGAGAACAGCCCGAATCCAGAAGGGCGGCTTTCCTCCCGGTTCTAAAGGTCACAGCTGTTGCCACTGTAAACAGTTTCCGTGTTGACAGAATCACAGCAACTCCGGAGACAGGGAGACTGAGGACACACCTGGAAAGGCATCTGGATTTTTCAAACTTAAAAAATAAAAAATAAAAAAAGGCCCGAGCAAGCAAACATAACTTGTGTCTGGTGACTCATCTGTTGCTGAATCCTCCCTGTCACCAAAGCTGGCCCTGGCCGGCTCTCTCCCTGTGTGTCACCTCCCTCAGCCACACAGCAGTGTCCACAGGGGACATCTTTCAGTGACTGAACCTTGGTAACAGGTCTGAACTGGGCTGCCCACCCAGCGGTAACTGCTAGGGGTGAGGATGAGACCCCCACAGGACCCCACATCCCTGGGTAATAATCGATGGTGGCTAAACGGCCTTCTGAGGAGAGGGAATCCATTCAAAAGCCAGCTGTGGGAGACTGTATTTTCCAAAGACACCCCTACCCGCCCATACCATCTACTCTTCTACAATGTGATGTGGACGTTCCTCCGTTGAACCTGGCCAGTCTTTGTAACTGTGTAATTGCTCCATAGAATGCCTCAGAAGGGATGATGCATGACAGCTTCTGCCTGGCTCAGGACATATGCCCTAGGAGCCCCAAGAGGACTCAAGAAGACCAGCGCCCCCGAAGCCACCATGTTGGAGAGACCGCATGGGCACTGTGCAGAGACAGAGAGAGTCCCAGGGAGCCCCCGCTACTCCAGGCCCCCCTCTGGTCCCAGCGCAGGTACCAGACACAAGAGTGAAGAAGTCTGAGATGACCACAACCCAAGTCAGCAGCTGCCCCCAGCGGTATGGGAGACCCTGAGCCGGAACTGCCCACCACTCCCTAATTCCTGACCCTTAGACACCATGCTCGATAATCGATGTGTATTGTGGTTTTAAGCCAGTAAGTTTTGGAGTAATTCATTACACAGCAATAGATCATTGATACGAGGAGTTTGCTTTGTCAAGTGGGCTTGTAGGTTTGGGGCAGAGCAGAATTGTCCAGGGCACCAGAAGACAGGAAGGGCTCTGCCATCTGGAGTTCCCCCTCTTTGCCCTCTCCCTCAGCCTCTTCTTCCTCCTCTCCTCTAACTAAAATCTGAACAAGTATTTGAAATGTCCATTTGGAGGGACACTGTATGAAGCCCCTGACCTGTCCTCTTGCTCTTCCCTCTACCTGACAAATTCTGATTCACCCTATAGGGCTCAGCTCATTGTGTTATAGGGAAGGACAAGACAAATTCTACACACATATTATTTAAACTAACAGTTAAGAATTGCTTTAAAAAGGTAATAGAGATGGGGCGCCTGGGTGGCTCAGTCAGTTAAGCGTCCGACTCTTGATTTTGGCTCAGGTCGTGATCTCAGGGTGGTGAGATCGAGCACTACATCGGCCTCCACACTCGGTGGGGAGGCTGTTTGAGATTCTCTCCCTCTTCCTGTCCCTCGCCTTCTGCTCTTCACCTCCCCCGCCCTCACCCCCACCCCCACCCCCACTCATGCGCACATGCTCTCTCTCTAAAATAGATAGACAGATAATTTTTAAAAATAAATAAAGAATAAAAAGATAATAGTGACACATATATACATTTGCCATTACTCTCAAACACATTAAAACTAAGATGTATGAATGATTGGAAAGAAACACAGATCGATAAGATGTGATAAAACAAACATAGAAGAGGATCCCAGGTTGCAGGATGCTTGCTGTCCAATTTGTTAAACTTTTCTGTGTGTTCTAAAACATCCATAATAAAATGTTGGGGAACTAAAAAGAGCAAACAACTACATAGCAAATACAATGCTCTGGTCCTAAACCTCACAGTCTGATAAATCGTTCAGTCCTTAGCCCAGCCTCGGAGGGAGGTTTGATTATTACCCCCATTTTATTAAAGAGGAAGCTGGGCATGCAGAAGTTCCAAACACGCCTAAGGTAAGGAGGCAGGAAAGGGACAGAAGTGAGAGTGAAGCTAGCTAGTCAGCCCCAGCACAGTACACGCTTCGTGATGACGACATACCACCTCTCACTCGTGCCACGCCTTTATAATCGGAGGAAGTATAATTGTATAATTAAAACACGCTTATATTAAACAAAGTCTTATGCCATTCTTTGGGGCTGCACAGGGAAACCTGCCCTCCTATGTCTGGGGCCTCCCCACTTACAAGGCTACCCCTTAGGGGAAGTCAGAGTCTTGCTTTCCCAGGCTCCCTGGCAGCTAGGGTGCAGACAGTCCCCGGCTGCCCCGTCGGGCAGGTGCACCAGCACCAGGCTTGTGTTCAGAAGCTGGCGACCGGAGAAGCGGAGGGCAGAGGGCATCTACCTGGCAAAGGCAGTGTCGTGGACGCCGGTGTCCCAAAGCAGCAGGACCACAGGCTGTCTGAGCCCAGCAGAATCAGCTGTGCTATCTCCATTGAACCATCTGGTGCCGGGTTTTGCTTTGCTTCAGGCGGTGTAGATTCCAGACTTGGATCTCTGCCCTTCTGGAAAATATACAAGTCACCCAACATCCTTCAGTAAATTCCTTGTTTTGGCCAACACTGGAAGGGTTCCCGCTCTACCTCCTACAGCTGCTGGATACGTTGTATCTTCAGGGTGATTCCTAAAGGTAAAAAGAAAATTGTGTTGACTTAAAAGACTGGAAAGAAGCTGCTGACAAGGGCTGAGTAGAAAGGATAATATCTTACCATTTAAGGGGAAATTGATGTGGATATGTATATGTGTATAAACTAGCTCCGAAAAATCACCAGGAAAGTGCTAACAGTGTCTATGGCTATCCCTAGCAAGGAGTTTGGGTGGCTGGGGCCAAAGGCAGGAAACTTAACATTAAACCTTTAGAACTCTGGTGGCGCCTGGCTGGCTCAGTCTGTGGAGCATGTGACTCTTGATCTCAGGGTCATGAGTTCAAGTCCCATGTCCGGTGTAAAGCTCACTTAAAAAAAAAAAAGTCATTAGTCCCTAATACTCAAAGCCGATTTTAGAATTCTATATCTGTGCAAATATTACCCGTCAAAAAATAAATATGTAATTGAATTGATTAAAAGGACAAAAAAAGGAAATATGAGTAATTATGAATCATGATCTCTGGGTGGTTATTTTTCCAACTCTTTATACATTTCTGCATTTTTCGAATACCTCAGTAAACATCTTAATAATCAGGAAAAAAAAGGTACAGTGGAAAAGAACTGAAGCCCACAGAATGGGGCAGGATAGTTGAAAATCATATATCTGATAAGAGACTTGTATCTTGTATCTAGAATATAAAGGAATCTTATGACGCAAGAAGACACATAAACCATTAAAAACGGGCAAAAAATCCAAATAGACATTTTTGTCCAAAGAAGATATACAAACAGCCAATAAAATACATGAAAAGATGCTCAACATCATTAGCCATCTGGGAAATGCAAAATGAAATCACATGAGATACCGCTTCACACACACCAGGGTGGCAAAAATAGAAAAGACAATAATTGGGGCGCCAGGCTGGCTCAGTCGGTAGAACTCTGGATCTCAGGGTCTTGAGTTAGAGCCCCATATTGGGGGTAGGTCTTACTTAAAAAAAATAAAAGGCAATCACAAGTGTTGACAAGGATGAGGGGAAAATCAGAACCTTCATACACTGCTGGTGGGAATGTAAAATGGGGCAGCTGCTTTGGAAAACAGTATGGCAGTTCCTCAAAAGGTTAACCATAGGGTTATGATATGACTCAGCAATTCTACTCCCAGGTGTAGACCCAAGACAGCTGGAGACACACATCCACACAAAAACTTGAATGTGAACATTAATATCAGCATTACTCATAATAGCCAAATGGTGGAAACACAAGGCAGATGTCCACCCTCTGATGGGTGGATAAACAAAATGTGGCCTGCCCATCCAATGGAATATATTTAGCAACAAAAAGGAATGAAGGATTGACACCCACTACAACGTGGATGAACCTTGAAAACATCATGCGAAGAAGCCAGTCACAAAAGAACACACAATATATGATCCCATTTACCTGAAACGTCCAGAAAAAGCAAATCTACAGAGACAGTAAGTGTGTGATTTTAGGTGGTTGGAGAAAAGGGGAAATGGGAAACAAATGTTTAAGGGCCGGGGGTTTCTGTTTGAGGTGATAAAAACATTCTAAAATTGATTGTGGCGATGGTTTCCCAGCTCTGTGAATACACTAAAAACCATTGAATGGTATACTTTAAGTGAGAGAATGGTATAGTATGTGAATTGTATCTCAATAAAGTTGTTTAAAAATGTTGAAAAAAAAAAAGAACTGGAGGGAAATGTTCAACAATGGCTTTCTTCTCTGAGGCTTCCTCTTTTCTGTTGGTTTTGGGGTATATGTGTGTTGTTTCCAGGGCCTGGCACAAACGGGATCCCAGCAAATGTTTATTGATTGAATGGATGGACAGATGACGAAAGGATGGCTAGATGGATGGATGAATGGTGGTCACCGGCCTCCAAAATGGCCCCCAATGAGGCTCATCTCCTGGGATTTATGCCCCTGTGTTCCCTCCTCCAACACTAAACAAGGGTTGACTCTGACTGACAGAATTCTGTGGAAGAGACAATGTCTGATGTGTGAGGCTAGGATGTAAAAGGCATTGGAGCTTCTGCGTTGGTCCCTTGGGCTGCTCTCTTAGGAGGAAGCCAGCCACCATGCTGGGAGGACACTCAAACAGCCCACTGGAAAGGCTTATGTGGAGGGGGACTGAGTCCTCTCACCAATAGCCAGCACTAACTAGCCAGTTTTTCCTGAATTCCTTACTCTCAGAAACCATTATAATGAATTGTTGTTGTTTAAACCATGAAGTTTTGGGGCCAAGGAGCAACAGATTACTAAGGGAGATTTATAACAGGATGGATGGATGGATCGATCGATGGATGGATGG